ATAAATATTTTTTTAATACAAGTTTTTTATTAATTAGTAACGTTTGTCGTATATAAAAGGCGATTTAGTTCTTTTTAAATGGGAGCATTTTGTTATATTTTTATTTATTTTTTGAGTCAGACTGCCTCGATGGCCGAGTGGTCACAAGTGCGACTGCCGGGTAAGGGGTCTCGGGTTCGATTCCCAGGTCGGGCAAAGTATTACTTACTGGGTTTTAAAAAAAATCTCAGTTGTTGCACAGAGTCTAGAAATGTGCCCGGTATATGGCAATAGGCGCACCCCCTATTACATGGGACTCGTACATAGTAAATAAATACATCGTAAATAGTGAAAAGTGGGTGTTACTTCTGTGTGCACCTCTGCCTACCCCTTCGGGGATAAAAGGCGTGATGTTATGTTATGTTTTTTAAGTTAAAGAGGGTGCGATAAAATGAAAAAAAAATGCTTGTGGCTCTGTTCTTTGCTCACATTATCCTATGGCTGTTGGTAAACCTAACTAAAATGATGTTTTACGTTATTTCACGCACAGAGAACTTCCATCGCTTCCTGCTTCTTCCTATTTCCTACCATAGAAATATTTGAATAACCAAATGAAACAACCAAGAAACAAGATAAAAGATATATAAACTGGAAATTCATAAAAGACAAATACACACAGGCTAAAACGCGGACGAAGACACTGGCAAAAGCGCGTAACAATTACAAATAACGTGATCAAGAACATGACTGCCTCGTTGGCCGAGTGGTCGTAAGTGCGACTGCCGGGCAAGGGGTCTTGGGTTCGATTCCCGTGTCCGGCAAAGTAATACTGGGTTTTAAAAAAAATCTCAGTTGTAGCACGGAGTCTGGAATTGTGCCCGGTATATGGCAATAGGCTCACCCCCTATTACATGGGACTCATTACATAAATAGTGAAAAGTGGGTGGTACATTATACAGTGGCATAATGTGCACCTCAGCCTACTCTTTCGGGGATAACAGGCGTGATGTTAAGTTTTGTTAAGTGATCAAGAATATGCATAGGTATTACCGGCGTGAACGCGTCAATCAATTTCTCATTATAGCTTACACTTATAGCTAAGGTTCTCGTGTTCTATGGCATCATAATACGATTTGCACGGAACTTTTAACGAGCAATTTCCTAGTCAATGTCTGCTTGCTGGATTAATTAAATTTTCCTCTACACTCTACCCACTTTATCATTATATTTTTTTGGTATGGCGCTATTGTTGGCGAGATTCATTTTCTTGGATGATATTAATCGAAATCAGCTATTAACTCGTCGAGTACCGTATTTATAGACACAATTAAAGAACAATAGGTTGCGGTCACCGGTGACCGCTTGGTGTTTGACAGTTTAATACATAATCACGTGCAGTCAATAATATTTGACTGCACGTTTGGTGCGGGGGCTGAGCAACTGGCTGCCGCGCAACGTGTAGCGTGTTCGATTCCCGCATGGAACAACTCTTTGTGTTCCATGCGGGGTTCCAAGGTTTAAATAAAATGCATACAGATGTCGAGGAGGTGTTATCATCGATTGTATCGTTTATAAAATAATTATTAAGATTTCCATTTTTTGTTGTAGAAATATTACAGTGTCTGGTGTTTGATTATACACATCAACAGCCTATAAATGCCTACTGCTGAGCAAAGCCTCTTCTCACATGAGAAGGTTTAAGCATTAATCACCACGCTTGCTCAATGCGGGTTGGCGATTTCAAACTTATAATATGAAATTATAAGCCCAGGTTTCCTCACGATGTTTTCCTTCACCGTTTGTCAGTGTTGTCTGAATAATCTTACGGAAAAAAACACATTGGAACTGCCGTTGGTAGGTTTCGAATCCGCATCTTATGCATGAGAAGTGGGCGTCTTAAACCTACGGGCCACCACAACACACCACAACACGACACCACGGTGTTTGATTACACATTCGTTCAATTAAATTACTAACACTACATTTATATAAAAACGACGAAAAGCAATAAAAAATAGCCGCACGTGAATATACGACCGCCAAAAACGAAGACTTAGCATTAAATTCCTGTAACAAAACAATTCGTCTATCAAATATTAAATAAATTGTCTTATTAAACGCGAAACAAAACAATTTTATGAACTTATCATAAGTGGGACCACACCCAACTCATTGAATTCCGCACAAATTAACAATGTCTCTCAAGATTAATTATTTCATGAGAACAAAATGAGGTAAAACGTATCACACTTCAAAATATAATTTAAACTTTTCTCATTTTATTTCATTAACGCAATGAGATATGGTGTTTAACTTTTGCGTTTCTCTAGTCTTTTACGATACCCACGAAAAGAGGAGGGATGGTGCTAAATATGGTTACTATCGTCACTATGTAACTTTATTTTATACATAAACATAACATCACGTCTTTTATCCTCGAAGTGGTAGACGGAGCTGAACATTACGGCACCTAATGCCATTTTACACTATTTATGTTATGAATCCCATGTAATAGGGTGTGAGCCTATTGCCATATACCGGGCACAATTCTAGCCTCCGTGCTACTACTGAGAATTATTTAAAAAATACCCAGTAATACTTTGCCGGGCCCGGGACTCCACCCGGAGATCCTTTGCCCGGCAGTCACATTTGCAACCACTGGGCCAACAAGGCAGTCACTTATTTTTACAATGTAAGAAATTCTTAGAAATGATAACATGTCTGTCGGTGTCATAACGTCATTGTTGAAGAATAAAAAGTTGTCCTAATACAAATAACTTAAACGAAATCGTTCTATGTGTAGATTTTGGGATACAATACGAATAGGAAATGAGATACATTACTTATGAGTTTAAGAGAAAAGGATATCGTATTTCCAGAACTACATCGTTCGTATGATAGTTATATCTATGTTACACTGAGGAATGTAATCACAGGGCCTTTAAAGGTCTATAGAGGTGTACAATATACAAAATTCATTTGTTACTAGTTTCGTCATGAGACCCGTTAAGTCCCGTATAATAGAACGTTTGCCCTTTGCCATATAGTTCACCATTTCATGACCACCATAGTATGTAATTCACTTAATTCTCAATACTGGCTACTACTACATTACTATCAAGAATTTTGCATAACCAAAAAAAGCAACGAGGAATCAAACTAAGGCCGCCTTTTCAAGTTTAGACTAATCGACCAACATGATATTTCGTCCAATCAGAGATTAAAGTTAGATTTAGCTACATAAACTTTTTTATTTGCACGCATTCATCTTTAAATCATAACCTATTATTCATATCATAAATCATAAGCTTTTCAAGAAAATGATTTCAAAAGTTACTGACAGCGCCATCTAGTGTGGAATAGTAAACCTACCGATGGAAATACAACGACATCTGCCGGTTGGGAGCATTACTTTGAAGAGCTCTATCTCAACATCAGACCAGCTAGTTCCACTATTTACCGTTAGATGTATTAAAATGTAAAAACATGAAATTTATCTATTCTGTGTTGTTATTACTAAATATTGTATTATTACTAAATATTTTGTTGAAACTACGTAAACGGTTTTTAAATAGGTCAGCACATTTTCAGACATTCTAAACTGGAACCTTAGGTACCTTTTTTCAGTTATTTACTAAACCGATAGCTGAGTAAGTGGGTAAATATTCAAGTTATCATTGAGATGCAATCCAAGTTTTTATACAACCAGGTCAGGTGCATTCTGCAACAGCCTTGGCAATACAATTACCATTAAATTGTAAGTATTTAGTAAGCACTTCATGTACGAATTTAATGAACTAAGTACTTTGTGTGGAGTCGGTATTCTTGATTAGTTTTAATTTTTCGTTAAATGTTTTCTACACTCTGAAGCTCAGATTTGACTCATCATCATTTTTTTTTATGGCATAAGCCGGTAAACGAGCAGTCGGATGACCTGATGGTAAGCAATCGGCGTCGCCTATGGACACCTAGAACACCAGAGGCGTTACAAGTGCGTCACCGGCTTTTTGGGGATTAGGAGTTTGAGGATCGTTGAGGATTCAGGGATTGGGGAGGTTGGGGAAGGGGAAGGTAATTGGGCCTCCAGTAACCTCACTCACACGACGAAACTCAACGCAAGCGTTGCTTCACGTCGGTATTCTGTGAGGCCGTGGTATCACTCCGGTCGAGCCGGCCCATTTGTGCCGAAGCGTGGCTCTCCCACACTTAAAATGTCAGCGTCAAGTCTACAGATGATTAAGTTCAGGTCGCTGTCAACCAAGTTTTTGAGGGGGATAACTATCCAATGATTCCTCCTGCCTTGGGTGTGGCGAGAGTGGACTCTTACTGACAAAAAAATTAGCTTAATTCTACTCCTACTTCACGCCAAAGCACCAGTAACCCGTTAAGCTTTGAGATCAGTTGGTTAAAAGCAACCTGCATACATTGGTTCTCTAACTTTTAGGCTACTGCTAAACATTAAAACTTCATGTTTGATTTGCTACGCGATTGAGCGATACGTATTAAGCATATAATGATCTATAGTAATTATATCTTTTAAACATAGCATTCAAACTATAAGTTTGAGCTTTTAAACTAATAAGTGCAATTAATATAAACATTTTTCAACATTCCTTAAGTAGTAATTTTTTATATATTATTATTTGTTGTTCAACACAAACCAAGATTATTTTAGTTTTTTAGTCACAGTCAAAGTTAAAACCATTTATTTCAATTAGACCAGAAAAAAAACACCTTTGAAAGTCAACAAAAAATTTAAAAGTGTATCCATTTGCTCATTTCAAGGTGTAGATTCCTATGGAGAAGAACGAGCAATTTTATTGTCCGTATCTATACGATAGCACATCCAATGATTATGATTGATTCTGTGTATAGTTTTATTTTTATGTCCTTTAATAGTATTATAGCGTGTCTGAGATCATTAAATCCTAGTCTAGGAACGAGAGATATCGTGTGACGGAGCGCTTGTCTGACATTATATTTCCCTAAAAAACTAAACAATTGTGAAAATTCTTTTAAAAATGGCGTTAACATTGTACAAAATGGACGCCAGTCCACCAGTACGGGCAGTATACATGGTAATCGAGGTGTTGAAGCTGCCTAATGTGGAATATGTTGAAACTGACCTCTTGGCTGATGATCACCTTAAGGATGACTTTCTGAAGGTAAAAATATTGTTACATTTTTATTTTCTGTTTTTGTTTAAACATTCGTTGAGTGCGTTTACAAACAAACATTGTCCAGACTCGACTTATTTCCAAACACGCTCTGTAGATGTATAATTTAAAATTGTGAAAGGCGTACGCTTACTCGTTTAAGTAGGTTCGATGCTCAGCCGTTCGGTACATGTATGTGACGTGACTTAATTTCATTTACTCTTCGTATTGTATTAGTTTTAATAAGCATAAGAAGCGTTAATACTTAACTACAATGTTAATTTGATTTCTAGATAAATCCACAACACACAATACCACATTTAACCGATGGAAACTTCCAACTATCGGACAGGTAAGTTTATGCGAATTTTATTTGTTGAATAACTCTCCCGGTATAAAACACATTATACCCGCAACTTTCAACAGACAAGAGGATGAGACCTTTTTATCACATAAAAAGCTGCTTACTGGGTTCATCCATGAGACGTCATTCGTGAACGCTTGTCGCTGCGAATTAAATCATTCAGTGCCATAACAGACCGCGGAGAAAGTGCGACCCGGTTCTGTCTGGCGCAGAATTCAATAAGAATTCTAACAATCAAGTTCTTGTATCCTCTGTCCAATATTAACAACCTTAAACTAGTCCGTATTAAATTAAGTAAAACTCACGTGAATATACTGAGAAAAGCTCTACTAGTTTCGAATCACAGAGGGGTTCTTCCTCGTGAGCAGCGTGCGCGGTCGCGGCGACGTCGCGCAGCTCACTCACCGCGCACGCCGCGATTTTACTTAGGTAATTTAGTATGTCTCACGATAGTTATAAAAAAAACATAGTCCGTATTAGGTAAGATTTCCGCATTTCGTTTTACAGTCACGCAATAATAACATATTTAATGAACAAGTATGGAAAAAATTCTGATTTGTATCCAAGTGACCCGCAGCAGAGAGCTATGATTGACCAAAAACTGCATTTCGATAGTGGTATCCTCTATCCAGCTTTGAGGGAGAATGACGTAAGTTACTCACATAGCGCGATGAAAATAGATTTTACCAAGGCATAAATAACCAATAAGTTATTAATGAAGGGAGATCCTGTTTCTTTTTCTCAGCTGTATCACTTTTAACAGAGTGGTTGTGGTAAACTAACAAGATGAATTCATATCAGTTGCTGTAGTCCATCTCGCAATGTTCAGCCATCTCTAATCAATATTTTTGTGCACTCACGCGAAGGCATGCCCAAAGTGGTATTTACTTGATCAGCACATAGCATCGGCAATCTTGCGCGTTTCCTTGTGCCTTCTACGCTGAATGAAGTTGAGAGACGCTCTACGAAGTCGTTTTCGCATCTTGAGACGTATCTGAATAATTTTTGTATACGAGAAGACTTAGCATCGATCATATAAAGATGTTATGGCGTGTCAGGTTTTTTAGTGTCTAATATTCTTTCATATTCATACCCTGTCATTGAAACTATGTTATTAAAACTCAATAAACTTTTAATTAAAAATTGCTCTAAGTAAACACACTGTGTGCGCGTTGTCACGAGTATGACTAATCGGTTGTAAAAATGAAAACAATTATTTTAACGATATGAGATAACATCACGAATAATGTCTCCAAGGCATAATTGAAATTATTATGGGTATTAAAGGCTAACTAGAAGCAGTTCAGTACATTATATTAAATTTACTAATTACTAACAATTGTATGTTTATTTAGCTTACTGTTGTCAAACTGAAATTAAAACCCAAACTCAAAAGCATTTATTTCAATTAAATCATAATTTAGTACCTTTGAAACGTCAACAAAAATAAATAATAGTCTGTCAGTCTGTCCTTCACTGAAACTAGGCGCTCGTTCCAATATGAAGATTCGAATAGAGAAGAACAAGCAAGAAACTCCATTTATTACTATTTTTAAAAAAGTCTGCTGTAGATGATTATTAGAGTTGTGAGATCTATAATAACCTATTATTTGTCTATGTTTCTATTTTTATTAATACTTTTTGGTTCATACAGTCCACTAACATTTTAAAACAAAAATTAAAATGACCCACTTCACACATGTTGTTCTTTTTTAAATCAAGCATTCATTTTATTTTAATCAATCATTCATTATGAGCAGATACGGTATTCACCTTATCGTTCTAAACAGTTGTTAATAATTATATGCTTGTTTTAAAGAGTCTGTCTCGGTGTTAATATTCGTAATTAATTTATTATATCTGTTAGTGGGCCAATCTCTATCAAATACAATACATTTTATACAAACATGACCTCACGCCTGTCTCTCATGGGGGTAGGCAGAGACTATGGAACGCCAATTCCTACGATTCTTACATACCTCTTTCGCTTCATCAACAGTCATCAGTCATCAGTCCTTAATTATTTTTTTACAGGTGCTCCCTCACCGGGGGCATTCACGTGTAATGTAACATTATAGATTAGACTTCGAGCATTACATTACAATAATACCTCCATGACTAACAAGCATTTGCGTGTAATGTAACATATTGATTCGACTTTGAATGAATAATTATGAAGTGGAGCGCATTAATGTTACAAGTCGTATCAAGATATTACACATTGTATCATTACAAGTTGCGCATTGTAATGCTCAGTTCTCTTCCTTCACTGATGTAATGCTCAGATCTGTAGCGTCACATCACACGCGAATGCTCCCGGTGAGAGAGCACCTTTATGTTAATTTATTTACATTTAATTTATGCAATAATCGATATCTATGTGATGTCATCATTCTTATAAACATACCTACGTTGAGAAAGAGTGACCAAGAACAGAACCGTATGCCATACTTTTTTCAGGAACCTATTTTCTTCGGAACGGCAACATCTTTGAAACCCGAAGGTGTAGCCAAAATCAGATCAGCGTACGATTTCACGGAGAAGTTTTTGACTGGATCACAATGGCTGGCTGGAAACAAACTCACTGTAGCTGACATAAGCTGTGTAGCAACTGTAAGCACACTCAATGAGTTACTACACATTGATGAAGCAACGTAAGTATTTTCTAATCTAAAACATTTAAAATCTGTGAAAGTTACGTATTGAATTACTTTTATAACTTTCGAGAGTGCTATAAGCGATAAGAAAATATTAACCTAAAGTTATCCATGATACGCACAGTGTGGGAGAGTCATGCTTCGGAACGAATGATCTTATAGAAAACCAACTTGAAACAACACTTGCGTTGTGTTTCGTCGAGTGAGTGAGGTTAGGTACCAGAGGCAACGGAGGCCCAATTAACTCCTCCCCAATCTTCCCAATCCCCGAATTGCCCAACAATCCTCAAATTCCTAATCCCCAAAAGGCTTGTAACGCACTTCCTGCCCGTTCCTGCACCGATATCAACTGTGCCACAACTAACGCCATCTTGTGTAAACATTATAACATGTTATGTTATATTATTGTTAATTACAAATTTATTATAAATTATTAATTAGCATTGACTATATTATTGTAATTGTATTATTGTATTACTAAAAGCAACAAGGATTGAAATCGGTTTTAATTATTCCATATTTCTTGCATTGGGAGTATCTATTAATATTAACCGTTAAAAATATTTTGCTGTCTGTATTCCACAGGTACCCCAACATCTGTGCGTGGATAAATCGTTGTGCAGAACATGAGTTTTACAAGAACGGAAACCAGCCAGGGCTTATGGAGTTTCGTCGGCTTCTGAAAATATATTTGGCACGTTAAATTTACACAGAATGAGATCAACACACAGAAAAAGATTTTATAATAACTATAAACTGCAATTACCATACTTCGTGCAAATAAACGTTATTCTTATTATACATAAGGTGCTCTATAATTATCAGCCACGGCTTTAATGGGAGGTAGTGTTATGTTTACAGATTACAATTGTGAAGAAATTTCGTGCCCCGGACCAGTTAATTACATACAGTAATAAAGTAAACATTGACTACATTCTGCATAATGTGGTTCACAAATTACGCGCGATGCGTCGCTTAGTCAATGAAAACAATTGCTATCTCTTTCCACGTGTACTGAGAATGAAAACGGAAATCATCTACTAGATACTCAATAGTCAGGCTAACAAGGGTTTTAAAAGTGCAATTACTTACCAGGTACGGCATTCTTCCGAAAAGCTGATGTAGGTAAATAAGATTATAAACTTCCCATCACACTTAAAACAGTTTTTTACAACATATAACAAACAATAAATGCAGAAAAAGTAAAAATGACAGTGACAGAATACAAAAGAAAGAGCTTCAGCGACGACTATTTCTCCCTACCAACTGACGTCGGCCGAGGAGAGGCCGGCCAACGACAGGCTTGGAAGCCAGGGTCCAACAGGCCCTGGGACGGGTCCCCGCTATCGGTGGCTGTAGCACATGAAATGGTCTCAAACCATAAATAAGAACGTCATGCGCTCGTACTACGGTGCTACATAGGGAAGGAATAACCTCGTTGCGTACCGTGAAAGTATGCTGTCTATATTTCATGAGCCCACAGAGCACCTTGAGGTGAGGTGACGGGTATTTTAACAACCCCACGGGCTTCCATCATCCCGAGTGCTCCTGGGAGAAGTCACCGTTCCTTATTCTCCGGCTTGCCTTAATTGGCTGGCTGGAGTGAACGATGACAAGAAACAGGTCTCCCACCTCTGGCTTGCTTTCATTGGCCGTCCAGAGTTAAGTCGCGAACTCGCGAGAGCAGTGATCCTGCTCGGAGCGTAAGAAACTATTCGTAGGTCGTGAGTAGGCCAGGGATGCAGGAGGCCTCGGGGATGATCGGATCTGCAGCAGATGATCTGAGTAGAAAGCGGTGGTAGTTTTTAAACCCTTCACCTTCAGCCACTCACATTCTCGTTGTCCATTTTTACGCGTAATAATTACATTGTTTCGGCAGGTGCCATAGTCATCCATACTTTTCAATTTACCAGTCCACAGCTACCCATTCATAGGTTGTTATAGGTTATTTATATTTTCCAATGTCCACAATAGGTCTACACTAACCGGGGACTGTGTCCTTGGGTGCATTTTCATAGTGCATATAGGGATAGTCGGAGGTTTGTGTGTCCATTACATTTAGATTTATCATCATAATCATCATTAACAGCCAGAAGACGTCCACTGCAGGACAAAGGCCTCCCCTTTAGTCCACCACGGTGAACGACAACTCGCCACCTGCATCCACTTAAATTAAGGATTTAAGATTTATTTAATTCATCCACATTTAGTTTAAAGTTGTCTAAAGGGCCTCGGTGCAGTTAGCTTCGGCTCCTCGTACGCCTCCCAAATGACCGGGACCCTATGGTCCCGTGAATGGAAAAGAAATACATAATAATGATATTAATCCAGATATTGGTTCTATTGAATTTCTTTCAAAAACTCAGAACATTCTATTCGCTAATATAACATTTCTACACATTACCGTCTATTTTACTTAAATTTCTTTGCAAGAGAAGCCAGGAGTAGCATAAGGTTTATTTTAAATAATTTCTAATGTTTGCCTACATGTTTCTATAGCGACATCCTTAATTGCAATTGGATTAAAATTTGTTGCAAATAGTAATTATAAAATACCATTGCATATTATTATGGAATCTACCATTGGTATTTACTTCTAAGAACTTTCCGTACATCTGTCACTTTCACATAAACAGCGCAATCAGATCCTATAATTATTTTAATGAAGAAATTTATTTATTTAATCTAATTATTTAATATAGGGCTTGCAGCACACAACGTACATCACCTGAGAAATTAAAGGAATAAATGAATTTTCTAAAGGTGGTATATATAATATTTTGATTATACTATGGTTTAATTGAAATAAATGCTTTGACTTTGACTTTGACTTTGATTGAATTGAAAATATTTAATAACAATATATGACAAGTCTTTGTAATAGTGTCCTGTCAAATAATAGATACTGTTTAGGAGTGAGAATAAGGTTTCGCCAAATGAAGCTCAGGCCGATCGAAATGAAATATAATTGTAACAATAAAGAAGAACTCTTCAACCGTACCAAAACAATACTAAAACGATCTCTCATAGTGGGACACATCATAAAATCTTTAGATATAATAAAATCCTTGTTTTATGTAGTTACGAACTTCCCAGATTATTAGACATTTTTCAACTAGGTATACCAAGCAGGTATAATACATTTCTTCTAACTCAATCCTAGACCAGAATATTTTCAGAGGTAACGCCAATTTGCAGAAGTTTTATTATGAGTCCTATTTACTTTACTAAATTTATTTATTTTATACGATTCATCACAATTGAAATAGAATAATAATAAAACTACACAAAAATAAAGATTTTTCATTGTATCTATCAATAAATATATCATACTTAATACTGCCTCGGTGACCGAGTGGTCGCAAGTGCGACTGCCGGGCAAGGGGTCTCGGGTTCGATTCCGTATTACATGGGATTCAAAATTTAAATAGTGAAAAGTGGCTGTTACATTGTACAGTGGCATAATGCGCACATCTGCCTACCCCTTCGAGGATATAAGGCGTGATGTTATGTAATGTTATAATATATGAACACTCGATATTTTAATTTACTTCAATTTCTGTTGCACATGAAAACAAAAGAAAAAGTTCTTTAAAACTTGTCAATTATTCAAGGAGGTTCCCTTGCGACTATTTTTCTACGTACCTGGCCTTGCATAACGGTGATTACTGTCAGAACTGATGTGAACTGATGATAATGTATGCAACAGATACGCCTCCAAGTACGTAAGTGGATAGCCAATAGATGTGAGAAAAGAATTTGAATGGGAATGATGACAGCGAGAAGTAAAATTTATAACTTTTGAAAACAATTCTCCTTGATTTTCGAGAATCATACATGTGACGTCATACCCTTGTTGTGTCAAATGTCATACGTATTTCAATTAAATTAGGTAAAGGCCTCGTTGGTTGAGTGGTCGCAAGTGCGACTGCCGGGTAAGGGGTCTCGGCTTCGATTCCCGGGTCGGGCAAAGTAATACTGGGTTTTTAAAAATTTCTCAGTAGTAGTACGAAGTCTGGAATTGTGCCCGGTATATGGCAATAGGCTCACACCCTATTATATGGGACTCATAACATAAATAGTGAAAAGTGGGTGGTGCATTGTACAGTGGCATAATGAGCACCTCTGCCTACCTCTTCGGGGATAAAAGGCGTGATGTTATGTTATGTTATGGTACTACTAGTTGTTAGGTAGTAGGTAACTACTGAAATTTAGTTCAAAATGTGGAATTATTAATAAGAGTGCTGTAATTATTATTTTTCAATTAAATAAAAATAATTCATAAAATTGTAGGTAGTGTGCATTGGGTTTTAAAAAGTACAATTTGATGTTTCTACATAATTTATATTTTATTACTTCCATCGAATATATAAAAAAGAATAAGAATAAGAGGATAGAGTTTCCTTTGTGTTAAAAGAAAATTTGCATTTTGTTAAAAAAATACCATATCAAAAACCTTTAATTTTTTTAATATAACTTAATCTTATTTAATTGCCGCATCCACATTTGCTTTGTTAGTAGCAGTATGGCCGAACCGGCTATTACGACCTCAATATTACCACTCTACTCTACAACTTGGTACGATACGATTGTGTGAGTGACCGCGTTCTCCAACACTTTTGATAACACTTGGACCCAAGGTATTTTGTAAACATTATTACTTACTACTGCTGTCGAATTAAAAATATTTAGATATTAACAATTAATAAAAAAAATATTGATTAAAGTTATTTTTATAAAATTCTTCTTTTCTAAATATCAAATAGATGTAATATTATAGACGTATATATTTTAAATATAAGATACAACAAATAAAGCATTTAAAAAAAATAAGAACTTTGAGTAAACAAAATAGATGCTCCAAATAGTGTGGATAAATTTTGGCGTTAATGTCACAGTGTTTGTTAATTTTAGTGCAAAATAATTATTTATATTAAGTAATATCACTACATAGTATATAAAACAATATCGCTTTCCACCGTATGTCTGTCCCTATGTATGCTTAGATCTTTAAAACTACGCAACGGATTTTGATGTGGTTTTCTTTAATAGATAAAGTGATTCTTGAGGAAGGTTTATATATATAATACATGTATATTGCACCCGTGCGAAGCTGGGGCAGGTCGCTAGTTCAAAATAAAACAACAGGTATACATGTTATAGTTGTCCTTCTTCAAAATTTCTTATGTTTCTTAGATAAGTGAGCATAAAGCGTGATTGATTGATCTCAATGCAGCATCCGTCCTTCTTTGCTATTATTAATGTAATGTTATGATACCTTATCACGAATATCCGTTCCATTTCTTTGCTACTTCGAGTGTTAAAACGCTTTAGTGTAAATTACTGTTACTGTAAACAGATTTTTATGTGCGTATAAACAGTTGAGCACGGTTATAATCTAGTGTTTTTAAAATTTGTTACACACTAGGATTTCTTCTTATTTTTTTTATACCACGACGGTGGCAAAAAGGCACACGGCCCACCTGAAGGTAACTGGTTACCGCGGCCTATATACGCTTGCAACACTTACGTGGGTATTACAAAGATACAAATTCACATATAATCACACCGAAACCCGGAACAGCAATTTGGTATAACACAAAGAGTTGCTCCGTGCGATATGTATAACTAGTAATAGTATATCAGTCAGTACGATGTCAGTAGGCTGCGTGACATCGCCGCCACTGCGCACGTAGCTCATGAGGAAGAACCCCTCTGTGGTTCGAAACTAGTAGAGCTTTTCTCAGTATATTCGCGTGAGAAACCCGCGATTTTTAGTTAATTTAGTATATCTCACGATAGTTATTACAAAAATATACTAATAGTTAGTTAAAAAGTCATATTTTTTCAGAGTTCGTCAACAATGGTACTAACGCTGTACAAGATAGATGCGAGTCCACCAGTAAGGTCCGTATTCATGGCCATAGAGGCTTTGGCCCTCAAGGACGTACAAATGGTTGACGTCAACTTGTTCGAAGGAGAACATTTGAAGGAAGAATACTTGAAGGTATATTGTATTCATGCTGCAATTTGGAGATTCTGTCCATATTATGTTATATGATGAAAGCATGCTTCTTTCACAAATAATAGGCAGGTTTAACGTTGCCAAATCGTGGACAGTTTTTATTGTAGCAAGCATTTGTCATTTGTAGGCCGACTATTGTTGCCTACTTGGCCGAGTGGTCGCAAGTGCGACTGCCGGGCAAGGGGTCTCGGGTTCGATTCCCGGGTCGGGCAAAGTATTACTGGGTTTTAAAAAAATCTCAGTAGTAGCACGGAGTCTGGAAATGTGCCCGGTATATGGCAATAGGCTCACCCCCTATTACATGGGACTTATAAAATAAATATTGAAAAGTGGGTGTTACATTATACAGTGGCATTAAGTGCCGAAATGTGCACCTCTGCCTACCCCTTCGGGGATAAAAAGGCGTGATATTATGTATGTATTGTTTGCTAAGGATGCAAGCATTCGTTAAATGACGCAACGTGGACAGTGACCTTTAATTAGTTAACAACTCATCTGACTAGGGTTATAAAGTTTTGCTATCGACTTCACAAGTCATGCGTCTTATATAGAGGTATATAAAGAACCAAATAAATGTAATGGTAAAAGTAATAGTAATATTGTTTATTTACAGGTGAATCCCCAGCATACAGTGCCGATGCTCGCCGACGATGAGTTTTACATTTGGGACAGGTAAAAATATGTATTTATTTAATATGCTTCATGCACAAAATGTATAAATAGGTGGACTTAATGCCGCATGCCTTTTCTACCAGTCTGACCTTTGGGTGATGCAGAGAAGAGTAAATGGGAGGTGCAAGAGGGAAGAAATGTTTTTATTTAACAAATGAAAAATAAACTAATATATTTATTTATTTTATTTATTTACACTTTATTGTACACCATAAAAACATACATAGAAAATAAACATAAAATAATGTGTACAATGTTTCAATATTTCAGAGGTATACATAAATAATTATTATATAACATGAGTACAATATACCTACATACATATATAATATCTTTATATATATGTGTATGTCACTGAATTTCTTTCAAACGACTGGACCGATTTTGATGAATTTTTTTGTGTGTTCAAGGGGATCTGGGAATGGTTTAGATTCACCAATCAGCCCGGCAGATGACGCTGTAGTCGATGTTTAGGTTATTTATCCTAAACAGGTGAACTAATTTGAATGAATTTTTGTTTATATTTTCACGTGGATATGCAGGACAACGTCTGTTGGGTCCACTAGTATAAATATATACTTGCTTGTTAGTACACAGTGGATAGTTAGCGCGAATATTAGCGAGATGTAAGAACACGAATAATACTTTAAACTACATCGTCGGTTGGGGGTGAAATTAATCCTATTGCTAATAATCCTGAGGTTTTGTGTATTATTCTCGAATCAGACATCAGACAATGACATTTTATTACAATGAAGTTAATGGTTTAGTGTCATAAAAATATTATAATGTGTACCCTTTCTTAATTAAAGACATTATATTACACTATGATTACAATATAGTCACTTCACATAAAGCATTAACTTACTGTAGCGTTGATAATCACTGCTGCCTTGCACCTGATTGTTTGACTAATTGTGTCATTATTGATATACGTATTTATCACATACTTCTAAATTGACAATGTTGTTAGTTTATTTATGAGACAATCATGAATTATCATTATCCTAACATATTGTAAGAATATTAAGTTTGTAAAATATATAGAATAGGGTAGATGACTAATTTTTATTTTAATGTCCGTCTGGTAGATTAATCAGAAACATTAGTAAAAAACGTATTTTTTTATTTTTTTACGAAATAAGTAGTTTCGAAGATATGTATATTGATTCGAAATGTCGCGTGACGTCACTTCTATGTACATTTTATACGTACAAATGACGTTTTAGCCCCCACTTATACGTGACACACAAATCGATGGCGCCCACGCAGAAGGTCGGAACATTGTTTTTGACAAAAATCGTTTTTTTGGGCTATTACAACAATCTTGAACAGTAGCATGATTTACTAAAATCCAAATTTCAATATCTTATATGGAACACGAGTTTTCTAATGGAAAATGGTCTTAACATTTAAACACACCCGCGCATAAAGTCGCGTGGATTGTTCCGACGATATGTTCGGATCGATTGGGCCCGGCCGGCAAATCAGAGCAGAGTACCGACCGCAATGTTACGTCGTATGTCAGTAGTGGAAAAGTTTACTTTTTAAAATAAAACTGTCGATTTTTGTGATATTGTTGATGTAGTTTTAGGAGGACTAGTAATATTTATAATAAAATGAGTAGCGTACGTGCTTCCAAGATTATGCATCTCGTGTTAAATGAAGAAATAAACGAAAATTGTGAAGTAACGGTCGATGAAAATTTTGGAACTAATTTTATACTAATTTTTCATTTAATATATTTATTTTACTACTTTGTATGTGCATTACAAAATTAATAGTTAGTATGTGAAAGTGTTAAATAGGTCTCAACAAATAAAAAAAAAAATTATGACCTTTCCGACGCATAACGTCGAAACGTGATAAGTTACGACTACATGCGCTGTATTCAAACATTAACAGTGGTCAGTTACGACTTTATACCTCACAATCATTTTGTTCTAGGAGTCGTAACTTAAACTTACGACCATATGCGATGTTTAAATATAACAATAAATAAACGTACAAAGACGTATCATAGACATACGGCTTTATGCTCCGTTAAAAAAACAAGATACGATTATCTGCTTTACAAAATGTAGTTAAAATCTCATTAAAAATAAACTTTTTAACTGCTTCGTTGGTCTAGTGGCCGCGAGTATGACTGCCGGCCACGAGGTGTTGGTTTCGAACCCCGATTATCGGGTTTTTCAATTTCGAAATTCTCATGACGCAGAATATATACTATAACGTCTCCTATCTCTAATTTCTCTGAACTCTGTCTATCGCTTTCGACAATAAAATATTATGTTTGATTTATGTTAAATTGTCACTTGTGTGTGCTTTTTGACTAATTGAAAACTTGCAATTTTAGAATCGCCGGTACCGATTGAAGCTAAACCAGTGGGTTGGAAGACAATGTCTGGACAATCTTTTATTTAAAGTACGATAAGTATCAACTACATTTTTATACCAAGTATTACCGAGGTAATAAACGATTCCGACGCAACGTTACCCTCAATTTTATCTCCAATACAACAATAGTACTACAGCACTTAAGGATTCAGAGTCATGTGTTGAAGAATTTTTACACGAATCAACTGACATAATAGAACTTTCACTGGATATAACACCAATCATGCCCTTCCCAAATAACTATTTTTAATGCCATTTCGTTTCTACTATTTATTATCTATTTGTTATGCTGAGATTTTTTGTAGAAGTATTATTAGACCCAATACACCACAGCTCAATAACACTTCAAGTCAAGACTCTTCTGTCTGAAGAAGATGACTTTGTCTAGATTCTTAAAAATACACCGTCTGCTAGAGTTGCAAGTAGACATCACGTCACTGTCATGAGTGGAAAGATATTAAACAAGAATGTTTAAAAGATTAATGAAAAGCGTATTTCAGTAGGAATGGAGTTCAGAGAGATGGAAAGATTTTAAAACCACCATGGCCACCTGGCCTGGCCTGGCCATGGCGTTTCAGGCTACGGGTACCTACCCGTAGCCTGAAACGCCATTTGATGTACATATATCAACAGTTTAGTTCGTTTTAGGAAAATGGATATCACTGTCAATAACAGCATTACATTGTCAACCACACTGAAGTAGGCGATACTAAGTATCCTTCTAAGACAAATGTTGAGTGTAGACGTAAGAGAACTACTTATTAAGTATTGCTAAACTTTATTTGGATCTAATAAATGTTACAGATTTTTATAACTACAAAATATAATTAGACGGCAGAAACTAGGAGTACCTCGTGACCGTGGTTAGAAATCGCAAGAGCCCAACCAAACGATAAGAGATGAATAATGAAGTGGACATGAATGTAGTATACTATCTTTACAAAAAATATTCAACTTGATGGGCCGCTTCATTTGATGTCAAAAATCGAAACTCTGAAGAATCTGATGAAGAACCAACAGCAGGTCTCAGCTGTATTAGAGATATGGTAGTCAAGTTTCTACAAAATGAAGTGAAATCCAACCAAAAACATTCTGTAATAAACTAGTCAAGTCTCGATGGAGCCGCTTGTTCATTACTAAAAGTAATGAAATCTAGGCAAAGTCTTGCCAAGTCTAAGGTTTTTACTGCGATTTCTTTATTATTATAGTTGATGTTGTGTGACTTGGCCGTTGAAGGGTATACAAGGCCAATTTTCCATATTCAATGGGTAGTGGTTCAACGGCTAATTCACACAACATTAATATAATAATAAAGAAATCGCAGTAAGGTCCTTAGACTTGGCAAGACTTTGTCTAGATTTCATTACTTTTAGAGATGAACAAGCGGCTCCATCGAGATTTACGGTTTTTTACGGATTTTTTCCTTTTGGATTACTTATACATAAATAATATATGGATGTAAACAAAATGCTCTCGAAAACGCTAATAAAAAATTGTTTTAATGGTTTTTTATGTGTTATTCATGGAATATCAGCCTTGAGCTATTGATTATAACTATTATGACATAAAAGACAATTATTATAAAAATTTAACTTGTGTTTTATCGTCACCTGTTGGCGTTTTTTGAGAGCGTTCCTTTTACCCCCATGACGCATACAGTTTTAGTATTGTATTATGCATTCAGTTGTCAGTTTGTCTCAAATATCCTACCTTCTATTTTTAAAATTAATAAAATTTAATTTTGTTTTCATTTCTTAACTCGTCGAGTACCGGTTTTATAGACACAATTAAAGAACAATAGGTCGCGGTCACCGGTGACCGCTTGGTGTTTGACAGATTAATTAATAATTAATAAAATTCTCGTTTCGTAATTAATTAAATTAAATTTTGTTTTCATTTCTTTATTGTTCTAAAAATTTTATTCACTATAATAATGTAACTTTGACTTAAAAATACTTAATTATGTTCCTATGATGAGAGCTATTGTAATAAAATTGATTTACGTTAAAATTTTAAGGTGGTTTTTATTCATTGTGTGCATTATTACGACTCCTTTTTTATAGAGATGCAATACTTTCAACGTCGCTAATGGTCGTAATTCAAACTTACGACTTTATTCGTGTTGCTTTTTTCATGTTTACAGAAGCATACAGTCGTAACATTTAGATACGACCTTTTTTTAAGAAGTATATGGTCGTAAGTTAGAAAAACTAGTTTTTTTCGGTAATTACAATTCCTTATAATATCCAGCCCCTGGGAATGCATTATTTAACTAACAATTGTTAGGTACGTATAAAAATATTTGTTAAAAATCTTTCACAACAAATTTTATCATTATCGTGTACTAAAACTGCTCTCCTGAACAAATGGCTTTTTAGCGTTACGACCTTATGCGTAGGAAGCGTCGAAATACGTGTCAATATTTTTTCATTACCTAACTGACGGACTATTATCAACAGCCTATAAATGCCCACTGCTGAGCAAAGCCTCATCTCACCCGGAGAAGGTTTGAGCATTTATCACCACGCTTGATCAATGCGGGTTGGTGATTTCAAACTTATAATTAGAAAAATTATAAGCCTAGTTTTCCTTACGATGTTTTCCTTCACCGTTTGTCAGTGGTGTCTGAATAATCTTAGAAAGTACATATAACTCGGAAAAAGTCACATTGGTACTTGCTGTTGGTAGGTTTCGAACCCGCACCCACATGCATGAGAAGTGGGCGTCTTAAACATCCGGGCCACCACGACATCTGACGAATTAATTACATTTTTGATTCTCATACCCTGTCATCATCCCTATTAAGTTAGGAAATATAAAACTATCAGTACCAGCTGTTATTACATGCTGAAGTTGCATTTTCCTGGTCATTGGTTTGTACTTCAAACTTTATTTGTTCTAGTCATGCGATTGCAACTTACTTAGTGACGAAATACGGCAAGAATGATGATCTGTACCCGGCCGACCCACAAAAGAGGGCGATCATTGACCAACGACTCCATTTCGATAGTGGAATACTGTTCCCGTCTTTAAGGGGCACTGTTGTGAGTATTACGCCCAAATACTGAAAAGCTACTTACTAAGTATCTGAAGGGATATAACTATAATTAAGCGCGAATTAAAATTGAATATCGTTTGAGTGTTTGGACGTTTGCCTTTTATTTTAATTATTTGGCTGCAATACACCTAATACAACTTATATACGTGTAATATTTTGTCATGAAGAACCTAACAGGTAACCGGGGTTCGAGCTCGACGTGCAGGAGAAGGAACGGGGTGGTTTTTAGTCAGTAAGAGTCTGACACTCCTTCCCGCCTCACCCAGGCGGGAGCAGTCATTCGATGATTTTCCCCCCTTAAAGAAAAAAAAATACGTGTAATATTTTAGGGTGAAAGCGATATCAATTAGCGATTCAGCGAGAAAGCATGTATTTTTTATCTTAATATAAAAGATCACATAAATCTAAAATGGCGCAACCAAAGTATTAATTAAGCTTCAAAATACTGTTTTCTAGGAGCCAGTACTGTTTTGGGGAGAAAAAACGTTCCGTCAAGAAAATTTAGATAAGATTAAAAAGGCGTATGAATTTTTGGAGAACTTCTTAACTTCTTCATCCCCATGGCTGGCTGGTGATAAGGTGACACTCGCAGACATTTGCTGTGTTTCTACAGTCAGCTCTATGGATGTGGTTCTGCCTATTGATGCTGATACGTAAGTATTTTTTGATTATCTATTTTAGTTTGACATCTATTAGACATGTCAGTCTCTGATCGCGAAAATTACTTTCACTTTCACATCACATGACATCACGCCTTTTATCCCCGAAAGGGTAAGCAGAGGTGAACATTACGGCACTTAATGCCACTGTATAATGTGACACCCACTTTTCACTATTTATGTTATTAGTCCCATGTAATATTGGGAGTGAGCCTAATGCCATAAACCGGGCACAGACTCCTACCTACTGAGATTTTTTTTAACGAGGCAGTCGCATTATACATCTTGTCTTGTTTTTTTTATGGAATAAGCCGGTAAACGAACCGACGGACCACCCAGTGGTTAGCAATCGGCGTCGCCCATAGACTCCTGGAACACCATAGGCGTTAAAATGCGTTACCGGCCTTTTAGGGATTAGGAGTTTGAGGATCGTTGGGGATTCAGGGATTGGGGAAATTGGGGAAGGGGAGGGTAATTGGGCCTCCGGTAACCTCACTCATACGACGAAACACAACGCAAGTGTTGCTTCACGTCGGTTTTCTATGAGGCCGTGGTATCACTTCGGTCGAGCCGGCCCATTCGTGCCGAAGCATGGCTCTCCCACACTTAAAATTCTCTTTTCTTTCTTATTTACACTATACAAGTATATTATTATTTTCTTTCTAGGTATCCGAATCTCGCATCCTGGAAGGATCTCTGCTCTCAACAACAGTTTTATGTTGCGGGGAACATGCCTGGCTTGGAACAATTCCAAGGGCTGGTAAAATTTAAGTTGCGTTAAATGCTGGAGACTTATGTCGGAATACTCAAACGCTACTCAATTTTAAGTCGTGTTTAAGTATAGTTCTGTCTCCACAAATTCTTTGTAAAATGAGAGAGATGGCACGATATTTAAGCACGACTTAAAATTGAGTAACGTTTCAGTATTCCGGCATTACGCTGTTAAAGTTACATTTTTATGTTGCAATTATAACTACTACATTTAGAACTAAAATGATTTTGATTAGATATTTAGATAAATGTTTAGGTAACAATTTGCTTGATAAAGTACTCTTAAAGTGTCTACGTTGTGTTAAAATTAAAATTGTATTGTATTATTATTTTTTTCCTATTTTTTCGTCTATTTTTATTTTTTCTATAAAATTGTATGAATTTTAAAATATAGCTTGTTGTTATGTTAGATTAAATTAAAGTTTAAGCTGCCGTTTAAGTTCAGATTAAATATGTTTGCTTATAGTAATACATTTTTTTACTATCTCTTAAAAAACTGGTTCTGGTAAGTGTCAAAGTCAAAGATCTTTATTGTGAGACATTGGTTAGTGTGTACTGTTAAAGTTCACCTAATAAATAATTGAACACAATATTATGCTCAAAAACAGTTTTATAGGCAAAACTTATTGTGTATTTTTTAGTTATATCTGTTATGTGATAAGAAAATGTAATTGGCAGTTTTATTATAAAAATACTAGCTGCTTCCGCGCGGTTTCACACGCTCTGCTCAGCTCCTATTCGTCGTAGCGTGATGTTTTATAGCCTATAGCCATCCTCAACAAATGCGTTATCCAACACAAAAATAATTATTCAAATCAGACTTGTAGTTACGGAGATCAGCGCGTTCAAACAAACAAACAAAAAAACAAACACTTTCGCTTTTTATAATAGTACTAGCTGTTGCCCGCGACTTCGTCCGCGTAGATTAATGACTTCTGACAGAATTAACCAGAATCAATTCAGTGCCCAAGTAAGATTTACCTATTTTGAAATGATTTATCCTAGTTTTAATAAATAAATAATCCCGCAGGGATCTTACCAGTACAGAGCCCGATCACGTAAGGTTTGAGTAATAAAAACTATTCTATCGACTATTGTTGTACCGAATCTCTCTAGAATAAGTTCAGTGGTTAAGAGTTAGAGAGTCCTGGGGCATTGACGCATAGTTCCCGTTCTCGTCAGACATCTGTGAAAAAACTATCATACGTTACCCAGGTCCTAAATCATCGTTTTACTGAATGTAATTCAAAAAGATTCAATGATTCTAAATTCAACGGCTAAGAAGATTTATACAAACTCTCATTCCCTATTTTATCCTCTTAGGGGTGGAATTTATCAAAATCCTTTCTAAAGAGATACCTATGTCATAGTAACTTTATGCATGCAAAGTCTCAGCCCGATCAATTTAAAACTGGCAAAGTATCACACAAACTTTCACCCCCTATTTTACCCACTTTGGGGTGAGAATGTTCAAAAACCTTTCTAAAGGGACGTTTACGTCAAAATATCCATCTGCACGCCGAATTTCAACCCGATCGGTGTAAAACTGACAAAGCTTCATACAAACGTTCATCCCCTATTTTACCCCCTTAGGGGTGGAAATTACCAAAATCCTTTCTTAGCGGATGCCTATGTGATAACATCTATCTGCATGTCAAATTTCAATCCGATCGATTTAAAACTGACAAAGTCTCATACAAACTTTCATCCCCTATTTTACTCCCTTGGGGGTGGAAATTATCAAAATCCTTTCAAAGCGGATGCTTACGTCATAACATCTATCTGCATGCCAAATTTCAACCTGATCGGTTTAAAACTGACAAAGGGTCATATAAACTTTCATCCCCTATTTTACCCACTTGGGGGTGGAAATTATCAAAATCCTTTCACAGCGGATGCCTACGTTATAACATCTATCTGCATGCCAAATTTCAACCCGATCGATTTAAAACTGACAATGTCTCATACAAACTTTCATCCCCTATTTTACCCCCTTGGGGGTGGAAATTATCAAAATCCTTGGACAGCGGATGCTTACGTCATAACATCTATCTGCATGCCAAATTTCAATCCGATCAGTTAAAAACTGACAAAGTTTCATACAAACTTTCATCCCCTTTTTTACCCCGTTGGGGGTGGAAATTATCAAAATCCTTTCTTAGCGGATGCCTACGTCATAACATCTATCTGTATGCCAAATTTTAGCCCAATCTGTCCAGCGGTTTGGGCTGTGCGTTGATAGATCACTATGTCAGTCAGTCAGTCAGTCAATCACCTTTGAATTTTATATATATAGATAAGTTTAGGTACCTACCTATAATACCTATAAAAAATAATATTGAAACATCATAATATCATAATAATATTATACAGTGTGCATTATATTTTGTTCATAGCATTACGCTAAAGATTTTAGAATATGTGCATTAAGATTTTTCAACATTGACAATTCACTCAATTTTTCTTTCTTATTTCATCAAGTATCTGAATTGAGATTTCTACGTACCCGTCTATATCAATAAAAAATAAAATCAAAAAATCTATGAACTAAGTAAACCGGTAGAAAAAAAAATAAATGCAAGAGCGTTACAAATGAGCGCTAAGTGTGGGAGAGCCATGCTTCGGCACGAATGGGCCGGCTCGACCGGAGTAATACCACAGCCTCATAGAAAACTGACGTGAAGCAACGCTTGTGTTGTGTTTCGTCGTGTGAGTGAGGTTACCGGAGGCCCAATTACCCTCCCCTCCCCAATCTCCCCAATTCCTGAATCCCCAACGATCCTCAAACTCCTAACCTCCAAAAGGCCGGTAACGCACTTGTAACGCCTCTGGTGTTTCAAGTGTCCATGAGCGACACCGATTGCCATTAGGTGATCCGTCTGCCCGTTTACCGGCTTATGCCATAAAGAAATACAATTAACATTAACAGTTTTTTACAGTGAAAAACTGAAACCATAGTTTAAAAAAAAACAAGGAAAAACTGCTTAAATCATTGGACATTTTTACGCTGTTGTCAAACCAAAACCACACGGCAGCCATGATTTAATTATCATAACATGTTGAACAAGTATTGCACAATATATGTAATACTACTCGATAAAAGAGATTAGTGGAAGAGAGATCAGTCTCCGACCTCAACGTGTTGATAACATAACCGGTACACAAGTGACTTGCAATCTATTATCAATAAAACAATCTTTTCATTAAATTGAGGAAAAAGTGTACTTTTATACTACAGTACGTACAACTAGTGAGTATATTTATTTCTTTTAATATCTTCTGTAATACGTCAGTAGTACATACTTATACGGTCGAAAATAATAATTTGGTTTAAACTGTCAAACACCAAGCGGTCACCGGTGACCGCGACCTATTGTTCTTTAATTGTGTCTATAAAACCGGTACTCGACGAGTTAAATTCGAAATTTTTGAGTTCACATTTTAATTAATCGATTAATTTCGGCCGTAGGTATTAAATTATGTATATGTAATCGGCAGTTTCATTTTTGTCTGTTTTCATTCTTCTTGTTTCTTCAATATTTTCTTTTATTTATTTAGTTTATCTATGAGAATACAATATCTAAATAAATGATATCTGGCAAAGCAGGAATACTTAAAAACAAATCAAACAGTAAAGAATATTTTGCTATATACACATCAATTTTAAAACCAGTGAAGTCTGTTTTTAATTATGTCCTAAAAGTCACCGGTCGCGTCTGGTCGGTACAGATATACAATAATAAAAAAATATGAATAGAAAAACAAGTTTAAACAGACATTCTAACGTTGATTTAGCGTCCAGTCCGATACATAACAACAGCGTTTTTATCCCTATATAGGATAGGCCAGAGGTGCTAAATATACAATATAGGACCCACTTTTCTCTAGTCATAAATTCCATGCAATGAGAGTGTGAGTTTAACCCTTAATTTGACAACGAAATAAAATGGCATAATATTATCATACGTACAAACCTTAACTATTCGATTTCACTAAGATATTTTCGAAAAACCGCTCGACCATAGTGGTATTTAATCTTACAATGAATATGGAGTATCTGTTTGTATTATTAAAAAAAAGCTTTTTAGATACTAAATGTGTAGGAATATACTACCTATACATAATATGATACATAAAATAGGGTAAATGCATAATTTTTATTTTAATAGATTCGAGAATAGATAGAGTCTGGTAGATTATTTCAAACCATTAGACACGTATTTTTTATTTTCTAACAGAAACGAATACTTTTGACGATATATTGATTTGAAATGTCGCGTGACATCACTTCTATGTACATTTTATACGTAGAAATGACGTTTTAGCCCCCGCTCTTAAACTTTTATTCGTTTTATCTAAGTATTGTTTTATTATACTATATATAATAAAAAAATACGTTTCTAATATTTTATCATAACTATTTTTCCGGACTAATTAGATTTTTAATTTTCATACCCTGTCATCATCCCATACGCCGCCGGGCATCTCGGGCGCTGCTTATGGCACAGAGGGTCATGGCGATCCGAATGATCCGCGGATACCGCACGATCTCCGGGGAGTCGGCGAACCTCCTTGCCGGATTACCGCCGTGGGATCTGGAGGCGAAGGTGCTCGCGCGCGTGTATCGCATGCGCGCGGAGGCACGTCGCCGGGGCGAAACTCCCCTGCCGCGCCAGATAAGTGCGTGGCGGGATGAGCTCCAGCGCGATTTCATGGCGGAATGGCAGCAACGACTGTCGCAACCGAGGGCTGGGCTCGCTGCCATTGCAGCGGTAAATTCCCTCTTTGAGGAGTGGCTTGAGAGACGCTACGGCGTCCTCACCTACCGCCTGACACAGGTCCTCACCGGACATGGAAGATTCGGGAGGTACCTGTGTCTGATGGGGCGGGAGGAAACGCCCGGGTGTCATCACTGCGAGGACCGCCCTGAGGACACGGTGGAACACACTGTTGCGGAATGCCCTGCGTGGACTGAGCACCGCCGTGCCCTCAGGGAAGTGATCGGCGATGGCGACCTCTCGCGTCCGGGCCTAGTGCAGGCCATGATGCGGAGCGAGGGGGACTGGGATGCCGTCTCCTCCTTTTGCGAAGCAGTCATGCTAGCTAAGGAGGAGGCGGGACGCGTGAGGCAGCGAAGCGCTGCCTCCTCGCAACCCAGCCATCGCGAAGGACACACCGGGCGTCGGGGATCGCGGGACGATCTCCGGCCACCGTAAGCGCGGGAATGCGGACGGCGAGCATGGGTGGCTCCCCGTCCGACCAGAAACGGACCCGAGCGTACGGCGCGTAGCGTTCCGCGCGCGCCTCAAAGAGCCATCAGACCACCACAGATGGGGCCCAATAGGGCCGATGCCGATTCGGAGTCGCGGAGAACCTAACGGGTAACCGGGGCTCCGGCTCGACCTGCAGGAGAAGGAACGGGGTGGTTTTTAGTCAGTAAGAGTCTGACACTCCCTTCCGCCTCACCCAGGCGGGAGCAGTCATTCGATGACTTTCCCCCCATAAAAAAAAAACGCCGCCGGGCATAGCATATCGCTCTGTTTTATTTATCCGAGACCTATATTTGTACGCACCTATGCTGACAAATAAAAGTGATTTAACTTCATTACATTTGATACAACAAAACAACATTTTTTACAATTGTTGTCTGTCTGTTTATAGCTGTACTGGCTAATCTCTAAAACGGCTGGTCTGATTTTGACGCGACTTTTATTGGCACCTGCCAAAGATACCTAAGACACTCCTTAGTATATCTTAGGTTACAATAAGAAGTAACTTAGACTACAAAGCTTCGGCGGACAAAGTCATGCGTACAGCTAGTACATACATAAATAAAAAACGTCCTTGATCTGTTACGTCTCTGTTTTACACCCACTATCAGTACGAGAGGCGTTAAAACACTGATTTGTTACAGTGTTAATCGTGACACATAACCACGAAGACGTGTAAATTTCATACACATATACATTCGTGTATTATTATTATCAGGATCTACTTGTAACCGGTACAATTGTGTTTATTTTATTTGTGTTCACAGCAATCAAAGTGTTTAAAGTTGTAAAGTATTTTTTTGTGCAATATTTTAGAGTACCTACATATATTAATTTGTTTGTTGTAGTAGGGATGATATCTAGATTTTTTTACCAGCCCGTCAGGTAGACAAACAAAAACTTACAAGGAATATTAATTTCATATTTCCAAATCTTACTATGCTATGGTATTTTTTATGATAAGCACTGATGCAGATTTTATTTAATTTGTTATATTATTTTTCTACCATACATAATATATGTACTATGATATAATGGACATTGTGTTGCTGTTATAATGATAATCCTATCCTATTATAATGGTGCGGAAAACCTAACGGGTTTCCGGGGCTCCGGCTCGACGTGCAGGAGAAGGAACGGGGTGGTTTTTAGTCAGTAAGAGTCTGACACTCTCTCCCGCCTCACCCAGGCGGGAGAAGTCATTCGATGATTTTCCCCCCTTAAAAAAAACAATCCTTTTATAATAATAATCAAATCCTATTTAAAAAAGTGACAAACTTGTAAGAAATTAAGAGTTATTCATTTAATATTCCAGGTCTATAATGGGCATGAAAGTGTACAAGAGGGATACCAGTGGACCTTGTCGGTCGGTGTTTATGGTACTCGAGCTGTTGGGCATAAAAGATGTTGAATACATACAAATGAATTTGATTCAACGCGAACACTTCAGCGAGGAATACTTGAAGGTAATTATCAAAACTTTTTAATTATTCAACATTGTCATCAACAGCCTATAAGTGGCCACTGCTGACCAATTCAATTTATTGTTGAATGTAACTTACGAATTTATTACATTACGGATAATACTATACGTCATATAGTTTTAATTCACTGGTGACTGATGTTTCGGCTTGTACGGGTGCTAAAACGAGATTTTCATAGCAAACATCGCAGTCGTTTGGTAGTTACACAGCACACCTACTTTTCGGCGATTCATTTTATTTAAGTAGAGGTTTATGAAACGAAAAGTAGCACCTTAATTAGTAATACTTATTACGTTATTTTATTGATATATTCTACCTCAGTCTGATGTAGTACAATACTGCTAAAATCATGATTATTTATACTTAAACATTTAACATTTCAGATGAACCCACAACATACAATTCCGACGTTGAAAGATGGCGATTTCGTAATTTGGGACAGGTAAGATATTGTTTTTATGATTTGATTCGAAGACATAGGTACACATTTATGTATATATAAATATGAAACCCGTTTCCCGTTGTCACGCCATAACTTGAGAACGGCTAGACCGATTTAGCAGATTTTTTTGGTGTGTTTGTTATTGTCAGGAGAAGGTTCTCATGACAGAAAAAAACCTGAAAATCCTACGGGAACGGGAGAAAACGGGATTGCGCGTACGAAATCGCGGGCTGAAGCTACAATAAAATTGCTACCATCAGGCGTATAAAAATAATAAACAAACGTAAAATATACTCACGTAAATAATATAGTAACGACATTGTTGAGATAACTCATAACTATTATTTGATATTGATTAGATAAACAATTTATTTATGTATTTAAATCAAAAGTGTGAGTATATCAACCACTCAGTCACACAAAAGATTGATCTAATCAACTATTAGGAGATAATTCTCAACTTGAGTTTTAAAGGAAAACTGGACTAAGGGCCGATTTATCTATCAACAGATAATTCTTAACTGTAGAATAACATTGACATTTGACAGTTTTAAGTATGGAAGAATTGTCAAATATTCATAGTTGTTCCTCTGATAAAATGTATAGGTATCTAGTGTTGGGAAAATCGGCCTTCAGTTGATCAATTACAAACGATGATCGAAGTAAGTTAAGTATCATCATCAACAGCCAATGAGTGGCCACTGCTGACCAAAGGCTTCTTCTCACACGGAGAAGGTATGAGCGTTAATCTAACGCTTGCTCATTGCGGATTAGCGATTTCAAACTTATTAATAATAACATTTATATTTAGCCTCGACAACCACCTTAGGAGGCTAGCGTTAGGCAGTTGGGTCAAGGGCCTGATACAGAAGGCAGTTCTCCTTGAAACGGCGCGCATTGTGAGGAGGTTTCTGTCTCTGGAGCCCTAACCACCGGTAGCTTGGACCATGCTCCCACTACTGGTCGGCTCCTATTTTTATATTTTTAAATATTATTTTTATACTGTAGTATTTAAAAATGTAATTTTAGAGAAAGTTTAAATAAATATATGGAAATATTTATATCTTCTATATATATAAAAGAAAGTCGTGTTAGTTACACTATTTATAACTCAAGAATGGCTAAATCGATTTGGATGAAAATTGGTGGGGAGGTAGCTTAGAACCAGGAGACGGACATAGGATACTTTTTACCCAATTCTTTTTTTTTTACTTTTTACCGAAAATCACGAACGGGGACGGGAAAAAATGGGATTATGCGTACGAAGTCGCGGGCAGAAGCTAGTAATATAATAATATTTAGTCAATATATTAGTACTAAATTCTTGATTTTTATTTTTATTTCAGCCACGCAATTGTGACGTATTTAGTAAACCAATACGCAAAAGACGATTCCCTCTATCCCAAGGACCCCAAAAAACGCGCCATTGTGGACCAAAGGTTACATTTTGATAATGGTGTTCTCTTTGCAGCATTGAAAACTACTATGGTAAGTTGAAAAACATTAACGTCTTACTAATATAATAATAAATGTGTTTGTGTATGTTTGTTACTTCACGTCAAAATGACTGAAGGGATCAGGATGAGGTACTTTTATAGTATTGTTATCTAGTAATATTGATAATGTATCTTATGTAATTTATATTATACCTATATATTATACGGATATATGTATGTATTTACAGTTATGCATAATCATGAATTTATTTATATAGATTTTTCTGTGTCACATAAACCATTACATCTATTACACCTACTGTTGCACATCTCTGCATCACCCCATGGTTGACTGTTAGAGAATGCCACCCGGCATTAAGTCCGCCATCGTATGTTTGTTATACAGAAGTGTTAAGAAATAAATAAATAAATAAAACAAGGGTAGGTTATGCTCTGAAGTAAGATCTATATCTTACTTCAGAGCATGTGCCTATGGCATAGCCATACTTTTTATACGGTAAAATGGGGTGAATAGGGATCGAGATGTGAATAGGTACAGAAGAGGGGTGAATTGATACTACGAAAAATTTCCCAATATCTATTCACCCTTCTTCTCGTCTCTATTCACTTCGCGATCCCTATCCACCCCATTTTACGGTACAAGGGAAACGCGGGCAAAGTATCTAGCAAAAGCTAGTTTCAAATTATTTATTTAGGAGTAGAATGGTCGATAATAATCTAAAATTAAGTTAAATGTGTTGAAATTACTAAATACTTAAAATGTTTTGCATTTATTAGTCACACTGCCTTGTTGGCAGAGTGTTCGCAAGTACGATTGCCGGGCAGGTGGTCTCAGGTTTGATTCCCGGGTCGGGCAAAGTGTTACTGGTTTTATTTTAAATAAAATTCTCAATAGTAGCACGGAGTCTGGAATTGTGCCCGATATATAGCAGTAGGGTCACCCCCTATTACATGGGACTTATAACATAAATAGTGAAAAGTGAGTGTTACATTGTACAGTAGCATTAAGTGTCGTAATGTGCACCTCTTCCTACCCCTTCGGGGATAAAAGACGTGATGTTATGTTATTAGTCAATCTACAAGTCTACAATCAATTTGAATTTACAGGTTCCAATTTTATACAACGGTGAGACAGCATTCAGACAAGAAAATCTAGACAAAATAAAAGAGGGTTATGCGTTTATTGAGAAATTTTTCTCTGGACCCTGGCTTGCAGGGGAGTCAATAACACTGGCTGACATTTGCTGTGTGTCTAATATCAGCTCTCTGAATGAAATTTTCCCCATAGATAAGGCCCTGTAAGTATCGTTTTTGTAATAAGATTTAACTGTATTTACACATCGGTTAGGATATCGTAGCACGATTACATTACTGACGAAATTATTTTTATTATCACAAATTATAAGTAGTTTGATAGAAAGTAAAGTAAAGTCGTGATAGATCGCCCTATGGTTTCATTGCATTAATTTGGTTATTATGTTTAACTTTTGTTATATCTCCATAAAACTTTTTTGCTCTGGTAATATTAGCATCATAGTATTATTAGCAGACAGTTCCTTAATTATAAAATATAAAATTACAGCATGTATATGCATTCAATTAGTTACCGTTTAACCAGCTAGTTGAAAGGGGTACAAAATGGTACAAAATCTTATGTCTTTTCCAGGTATCCCAAATTATCGGCCTGGTTTGAAAGATGTTCAAAACAAGACTTCTACATCAAGAAGAACTTGCCTGGTCTGCAAGAATTTCAAGAACTATTAAAAGTGAAAATTGTATCCTAAAATTGCTCATTCATTCATGACGACGTGTTTTGTTAAGAAATTGTTCTGTGGTGATGTAATTTTTGTTGAAAATAAATATCTGTTCCTTTACTGATGTTGTTTTATTGATTTTGTGGTCTAGTCAGTTTTGGGTGTTAATGAAATTACACTCCTCCTGCTAAGCAGTCATGCTAGCTAAGGAGGAGGCGGGGTTGTGAGAGACACTCAGGGCATCGGGGATCGCGAGATGATCACTGGCAACCCGGGCACGGGCCTGCGGACGGCGAGCACGAGTGACACGACCAGAACCAGATCCGAGCGTATGGCGCGTCGCGTTCAGCGCGAGCCTCAAGGAGCTATCAGATAACCACAGATGGGACCCAATAGGATTGATACCGATACGGAGCCAAGCAGGACTTAACGGGTTGCCGGGGCTCCGGCTCGAAGTGCAGGAGTAGGAACGGGCTAGTTTTAGTCAATAAGAGTCTACCACTCCCTCTCACCTCGCCTGGGCGGGAGAAATCATTGAACGATTACCCATCAAAAAAAGAAAATCCCTAAACCCATATAATATGAACAAGAATAAGCAAATTAAGTGTAACACAAGAGCCCAAGTGCATATCATCTTCTTGACAAAGATATTGTAGGGAAGATGGTTGGGGTTCTTCAGGTGATCGAAGGGCTGGCTACTACCTTGGACAAAGGTTAAACATTGCCATTTAACGTGGCAATGCTGCCAGTCTTTTGGGCATCCTATCTCACGATAGCGATGAGGAAATTCTTTTGATACGTTAAGCCTACGTAACATTTCTATTGCTTTTTTTTTAAGATATAAATATTTTAGTTTTTAGTTAGTGTAACACTTAAAACATCAATAGATCAACGATTAGAAAGTTACAAAACTTATTTGCAGTCACATCACAAGCAGATTTCTCAACTGCAAGACAATAATGAACGACTACCACTTAGAAGTGCAAAATTAATTAAGTTTCTTCTTACTCCACCGTTTCTTTAAAGCAAAAGTTTAATGTATACCAAGAGATAAGTTATCCGCTCCGTTTTGTAATTGCAAACGTTGCAAATAACCTCGACAAAGTTTTTTTAACAAATTGAGTTTTAATTTGGTAATTGGTGCAATCTGGTCTTATAAAAAGTAGTATTTTGGCTGACTGGCTGGCTACTACCTTGGGCAAAGGTTAAGCATTGCCATTCAACGAGGCAATGGTGCCAGTCTTTTGGGCATCCTATTTAACGATAAGGTTAAGGATTTTTTTTGAAAATAAGAAATTTCAAATTCATATTAAAATACCTATGTGTACTACTATTTGTCCTTGAAAACCCACAGAACTTCATTTTTGTCCATCGAAGCCCAAATTTACTTAAAGAAATAGACCGCTATAACAATTAAAAATCATCAGGTTGGTGTTACCTGTCAGTTATCCGTTTTCAGATAAATTGTAATTAATATTCTTAAAAATCGGCATAGCGAAAGAAATGATAGAATGTTGGAAAGAATGTTGGAAAAATATTACTTTTAAAATTTTATTAAACTTTAGGGCCGTGGGGCCCAAGTGCACATCTTCTTTACAAAGATATTGTAAGGAGGATGGTTGACACTTCAGGTGATCGAAGGGCTGGCTACTACCTTGGGCAAAGGTTAAGCATTGCCATTCAACGTGGCAATGCTGCCAGTCTTTTGGGCACCCTACCTCACGGTAGCGATGAGGAAAATGTTTTCTTTGATGCCTTATGATTTTTTTTTAAGGTGTAAATATTTTAGTTTTAAATTATTTTTTTATATTTTAAGTTGTATATGTTAATAGTCGCAAAGTAGTATTATATGTACTGTTTAGTGAAGAAATTAAACGTTTATATATATAACTTTTAAAAATAAGATTTGAAACTACAACTGCAATACTAAAAATCATTGAGCCATAGTTTAACCAACAAGTAATTTTAATCACAAAAAAAATCACAATATTACTAATAAGAATATTAAGACGTCAACGTTTAAAAATACTTTATCCGCTATATCTACTATAAAAACCATTAATGAACACGTCATGCATGCATACCATAGGGCAATAGTGCAGGTGGTTTAAGACCTGATAGACACACCTGCAAACCTTACTAGTTTGTAGATCATAACGTTCCTAAGGTGTTTAGGCCAGAAAGTATCTTATTAAAAACAATGTAGATTCTTTTTTGAGACTGCCTCGTTGGCCGAGTGGTCGCAATTGCGACTGCCGAGCAAGGGGTCTCGGTATATGGCAATAGGCTCACCCCCTATTACATGGGACTCATAACATAAATAGTGAAAAGTGTGTGTTACATTGTACAGTGGTATAATGTGCACCTCTGCCTACCCCTTTGAGGATAAAAGGCGTGATGTTATGTTATGTTAGATTCTAAAATTATTTATTTCACAAACTCGGCCAAGCAGTCAAAGAATCTATTTGACCAAATCTAGGATAAAGGACATTGAACAACTGAATTGAATATCCTGCTATACTCTCACAAAGGATGGATCTTTACCAAGGACTTTCCGGTTTGTCGCCTTTACACCAAATCAGTAGTAATTCAACGAACATTAGTCCGATACGAAGTGGACAAAGGCTTTATGGGACAGAATCACAATCTAAAAACTTATATTACTGTAAATTACAAGATTTTGGGTTCGATACCAGATATGCTTGTTTTAGTTTGTAGATTGTGTGGGAGAGCCATGCTTCGGCACGAAGCCATGCTTCGGCACGAAAGGGCCGGCTCGACCGGAGTGATACCACGGCCTCACAGAAAACCGACGTGAAGCAACGCTTGCGTTGAGTTTCGTCGTGTGAGTGAGGTTACCGGAGGCTCAATTACCTTCCCCTTCACCAATCTCCCCAATTCCTGAATCCCCAACGATCCTCAAACTTCTAATCCCCAAAAAGCCGGTGACGCACTTGTAACCCTCTGGTGTTCCAGGTGTCCATGGGCAATGCCGATTGCTTACCATTAGGTAATCCGTATGCTCGTATACCGGTTTAAGCCATAAAAAAGAGATTATGAAGCGTGTGGCTATTTCTTCAGTTGCCTCTCCTTACCGTCTCATTAGATCATGGAAATGTGTTTAACAGACAAAAATATAAACGGTTAAAAGTCAAACCAAACAAAAAAATGTCAACCCTCAGCACATCAAATATATAAAAAAGTAGACTGAAACTTTGAAATACAAGAAAACTGTAACACTTTTTCATGAATTCATTTTTGTATTAATTAGACTATGAGAATTTCTAGGAACTCCAAAATACAATTAAAACGGCATTCGCAATACGTATAGCATGTGATCTTAGCCGAAACAATTGTAAACATCTTGTAACTAGCTCATTAATATTAATTCGTTTCAACTCATGTCTTATTCATTGAGCGGCATCCACTTTATCTTTGAAGAGTTTACTTACTTGTTTCACTTTGAATACAACTCCATTTAAACTAGGTTTGTGAAGTGATAGCTTAGTTTAAGAAAGCTTAACTTACTCTACTGATATTATTAAGCGTGTTTCAGCTTGTGGCTAGACTTGCTGTGACGGTAAGACAATGTCATTAGAACCTGAATCACTGATAAATAAATAACGTTATAGATATATAACATCACGCCTTTTATCCCCGAAGGGGTAGGCAGAGGTGTACATTATGCCACTGTACAATGTAACACCCACTTTTCACTATTTATGTTATGAGTCCCATGTAATAGGGGTGAGCCTATTGTCATATACCGGGCATAATGCCAGACTCCGTGCTACTACTGAGAATTTATAAAAACTTAGTAGTACTTTGGCCGACCCGGGAATCGAACCCGAGACCCCTTGCCCGGCAGTCGCACTTGCGACCACTCGGCCAACGAGGCAGTCACGTTATAGAATTCTCAAAAACGTTGTACGAGGTCCTTACAGCCTTAGACAAGGTGTGGCTCCACCATCCTCAGTAAGGAAGGTTGCCTGCGTCAAGAGAAAAGAAGGTACAACAGCTGCTGATGTATGAAGTACCCGGTGACTGCAAACTTTTGCAGTTCTTGCGAGACTTGAACCACTTGAATGAGCCCACAATATTGGAAGACTTACTATGAACAATCTCGACTAGCCGCCTGGAATCCTGGAAACCGTACGTAATGCATCATCGCTAAGCGAACCATGATTGTTTTTGTTTATTTTTTCTTTGTGTTGTAAAATTTCTTTTTTATTTGTATTTTCGATTATCGAGTTTAGTTTAGCCAAGAAAATGTTCATTTTTGTTTTTTACTTTATGATTTTGTTATAATTAAACTTATCTACTATTTAGGTTTTTAAGGCCTGGCTATCGCAATGGAGAAACCTGTCATGATAGTTTAAGTAAGGTTTTATAAAAATAATTAAATGATAAATAAATTAAATAAATAAATGATGAGTGTGGAAGAAGTGGCTGAGCTAGCTGATCGCATATTCGACCGACCCGCAAGCGTTACTCAACCCGCTAGTAGCAGTGACATTGGCACAAGCCGCGGCGATACCAGGTAGCAGTCTAACTTTGTGCTCTGTATTCCGATTCTGAGGTGGCCGCAAGATCTCAATTCCAGATATAGATATAAAAAATCTTACTAGCACTGTTTGGAATAACACGTAAATAAAAATTCTTACCAGACTTGTAAAACCGCGTGCATATAATGATTATAACAAAATAAAAATTTGTTAAAATTGGATTTATTAAATCCTGCAGATTTTGAAAATGAATAATAAATAAGTTCCTTTACTTTAAAGTCAGTTCCTTTAAAGCCAAATCTGACGAAACATAAGAATACAGAACAAGATTTTTTTTAAAAAAAAAGAAATTCCTAAAGTACCTAGGCTGTGCCGCAACAATAAAGGTAAATTCATTAAAAATGTTCTTTAATTAAAAGAATGTTAGGTACCAAATTAAAAGCCAGGCTTTTCGGCCTTAAGACGCTCGTTTTAATTTCAATTTAGTAAAATACTACTGAAAACGTTGGGACTAAATAAATATAC